GCCATAGACATTCCTTTATAACCCTGTAAGGCCCCCCAAGTCAAGGCCAGCCGCAACCAGCCGACTTGGCGGCTCGAAGTCGGTTCCCGTGCTCATCCCGTCAAGGCAGCCTATGGCCATCCTTCGAAATCATCTGATGTATGGGTAAGTAACGAATGCAATAACAATAGCTCAAAAAACAACAGCCAATCATCAAACAACGTAACAAAAGTACATCAAACTAAAAACGAGGAAACATGAGGAAAACAATGAAAGTGATGTAGCTTGACTGAAAAATGATGGAAATTAATGAAGATGTTGGACGACGATGGAAATTAATGAAACATATGAAAATCATTGAACAAGAATTATGACAACTGGGAAAATTCATGAACATCTTTAGAACATGGTGGAAATGATGGACATGATGGAAAAGATTGAAAATTATGAAGAACCATGACACAATGGTGAACATCTATCAAATATGATGAACATGGCGAAAATGAGGAAAATATGCATATTATGAATATGGGATGAAAAATGATGAAAATGATGAAAAAACGATGAGAAAGCTTGAAAATTCATGCAAATGGATGAAGAGCACAAATATTTTTGAAGACATGATGAAAATCAGGACGACATATGGCAACTGGTGAAATTGATGAAAATCATGGAGCTGCTGAGAAATGATGGACAAGATGAAGGATTGTAAATATGATCAATTATGATGAAAAATTACTGATTAACTATGAAATCATCTAAAATGATGAACAATGGCAAGCATGGATGGCCTCAAACAAGGGGGGGGTTGGAGGTTGGGGGGGAGCACAAGCCCCGCATTTGCAAACAAGCCACCCTATATATAAGCCCTAGGCCCTAGTACCAATCCAGCTGGGTGGCGTCATGCTCAACACGTTTGGCTCCGCCATCCCAAGCCTCTGAACAGCCCACAACAGGCGCGCGGCCCGGCCAGGCCTACCTTCAGGGTAATGGAGAATCACATTGGAAAATGAAATGGAAACTCTGGGTATGTACAAATTATGGGGTATTGGGTTTTGGGACTATAGTTTCATTTGTAGGGTTGGGGGGTTAGGATCTGGGGATCTGGATTCTGGGTTTAGAAACTCGGTGTTTCATTTTAGGGTTTGGGGGGTTTCGGGCTTGGGGTGCCGAGCTTGGGCGAGAACAAGATTAGTAGGATTCAGGGATTCGGATTTGGGTGTTAGGGACTAGGGTAGTCTATGGCGCCAGGCACGAAGAAGAAGCGTGGGATTCTCGGGATACATCGAAATCCCCATGACAAGATCTCAACATTGGGGCCACATTGCATAGACATATCCTTTTTGAACTGCCCAAAAAACTGAAATAAGATCATGTTGGTACCACTAGCCTGTGTTAAGTACCATTGGGGAGTGAAGCCATCTTTTACCAAAAAAATGTGTTCGAACATCAAAATTCATGCCCAATCATATGGTTTGATGAACACATGCCCCAAACTGGGATGGATCCTCAACCTCCCGCTGCAAACAAACAGCCCGCACCTGACACCCCGTATGCCCCACATGGCACACAGATTCAGATTGGGAAACAACATAGGACTCTGAATCCAAAAAGCTGGGACCCCTTTCCCGGAACACCAAACCACCAAACCCTATAGCTCGAAACCTGTAGCCCTGAACCCTACTTATATGGTAACCCCCAAGCTGCAAACCGCAAGCCGCAGAAATGGATAGGTCCGGATAGGTATGGTCCGACACACTTGCACCGCGTTTCAGTTGAACTTCTAAAAAGTTGCTATAAAAGACTGTCGGCCTACCCGCCTTCACACCAATCCGGAACCCCTTCACCCTTACAAAGACTATCGTCCGTTTCCAGGTGGCCGATTTGGATTTCCATGTTAGAGTGGGGCCGGGTTGACCCAAACGTTAGCCCTTCGTTCTTAACCCTATAAACCCCACACCCGAAACAGTGAACAACTTGATGCCCCCATGCCTGCAAGGTCAGCCGCGAGCATGGCAGCATTTAGCCCCACCTGACAAGCAGAGAGAGTTACGGATTTCGGGTGTTGGGGTTAAGAGTCTATGGAGCGTTCACGATTATCTGCCTAACTCTCGGCTTGCGGTTTAAGGTCTAGAGATCACGGCAGACTAGCTTGCACGGAGCTGCTCGCTGGGGAACCTCCTGTACAGCGAATGACTCAACATGTTAAATCGCTCAGCCGCCTTACAACCTAAGACCGCCTTGCCTGGTTTGTTTGCTACGGGGTCGTGCATTTATGGGTACCGCTACATTTGCCGAAAGTCTGCTACGTGAGGATTATAGCAGAGAATACTTTCAGAAAATTCAGAAAATCCTGGGCAAGAGAGACACATGCGCTGGCTAAGGCAAGTTTTTCCTAGCAGCTTGCTTGCGGTGCGCGTTGCGGATTTGTCAGAATGTTTTACACCTTTGCGTGCACAAAGCCCTAGGCTCTACACATGTCCTCGGCTCTGAACCCCAAAGTTCGGCCACGACACCGTTGTCATTTTGAGTTGCGGTCGCCGTCGAAGGTCTCCTGGCACGGGCTATTAAACTACAAGACCAGTAGCCAAGTAAATGCGACCCCCCAAAAAAGGGACTGTCTTCCTCAAGGGGTCTACAGTCTGTACAGGTTTCCATGTTTGTTTTGGGGCCACGCTGTTCAATCTACAGTTCTTTTGTTGAGACAAGCGTCGAAACAAGGCCAGAGAGACAGGCCAACCTTCGAGGGAGTTCAGCGCGGCCAACTGTGCTCCTGAAGGGAGTGCAGGATTCCCCCTATTATTCAGGTATATGCCATGCGTAATTTTATGTAAGAGCATAAGAGGAAATTCTATGTAATAGTATAAGAGGAACACGGGTGTCATGTACAATGACAGCTATGGACTTTAGGTTGTGCTGATTCTGACCATTGCTTGAATGTTTCCCTAGCGCGCGCCAAAAGTCACATTTTACCAAATGAGGAATCAGCTGTCGGCCTCCATATGCGTAGCTCTCAACTTGCAAGGTCTTCCAGCGCATCTCCGACAGTAAGTAGGCAGCGTGCTCCCATGTTTGGCCCTGACAGCTGCACAGCGCGCAGAATCCGATACACCGAGGCACGTCTTACAACAACCCCACCTGCAACCATAGACATCTCTCTTTCCGAGTTTACTATTGCGAGTATCCTTTTCCTCCTTAATCTCTTTTCCTGCTGCCTCTTCTGCTCCTATTCTGACACCTGCAGTCTCTTCGAACAGCTCTCCTACTGGAAGCCTTAAACCCCACAGCCTTCCACCACAAATCGCAAACCTGAAACACTTAGGGGCCCTATAACAACGATTTTAGGGGCCTTGTACGGAATACTGTTGGACCCTCTCCAGTATGGGAGTCCACCCCCAAACACTTGACTGTTCTCTTAAAAACCTGAATCACCCCCTAGGCCCTAAGCATGCCGCGCAATTTCAATCAATAAAACATTATTCGTGGCAGTAGCGTTGAAGATGGAATTCCTTTGTCGTATGTGTTACCTGTAGTACAAGCACTAGCATTACCATTCAAAACAATTTAAGACATACTTGAAACCACTTGGAAACTATTCAAAGCCAATTAAGATCTGATTAAAATTGACTGTAATCGAAATTAGAACCAACTAAAATTCAATCCAGTTGAAGAAATCTATTTCAAATCTACTCAGAATCGGCTGGACATCTACTTTAAATCAGTTAGACTTAACTGAAAACAGGCTTAATGCGAATTAAAGTCTATAATCACAACCCATTGACAACTTAGTCAAAACCAATTGAGATTAAATTGAAGTCAATTGAAATCCGATTAGCACCAATTGAAAGTTGCATTACAAGGAAAGTGAACTTCAGCTGAATTCCATCGAACATCTAATTAAAATCAACTAGAACCAAGTTCAAACCAACGAGAACCCCGCTAGAATCAATTGAAGCCTAACTTAATTCAATTGCCATTCAGCTAAAACCCGTCAAACAATTCGATTAAAACCGCGAAAATCTGCATTACAACTCGATTAAATCCACTTGAAATCAACTGGAATCTGAATGAGAAATGAAATCTGACAAAAAGCAAGTTGGAATCTAATCAAGCCAAATTCAAAACCGGCTAGAAATCGTTCAAATCCACATAATGAGAATTGACAGTCGAGATAAAAACCCATTTGAAATCTTATTGTAAACAAATGTAAAATCGATGTGAAAACAACTGAAGGAGACTGAACAAGATCTATTTAACATCCAATGAAAAATGGTGACCTGATGGAAAATTCTACGGCTGTTCTTTCTGTTCCTCCGGTCCCCGGACACGATGGCTCAACGCGAATCAAGGTTTTGGCTGCACTACCCTCTTCCACAATTGTGCAAACAAGAGGTGTATATGGGAGATTCCCCAAATTAGGGGTACCCTTTTGGGGGGTCCCCATAATAAGGATTATAGTATACTGGGGGTCTATATTGGGTTCCCCGTGTTTAGGGACACTCCCATATGGCTATCCGTATAAGTTAAGGCTCGATGCTAGAGGTCTGGCATCAAAATCCCTTGAGACCCGAGGCGCAAGGCCTTTTGGTTTGAAGGTATGCCCTAAACCCTAAACCCTAAACCCTAAAAGAAGAAATCATCTCAGAGAGCACCTGCAAGCTGTTTCTCCTGCGCTTTTTTCTCAGCTAAAGCACGCCAAAGTTAAGTTAGGGAGTTGACAATACCTGGACCCCAAAAGTAGGTAAAATAATGGCCTTTATGGCTATCATTATGGGTTTAGGGCTATTATTTTACATACTTTTGGGGTTTAGGTAAGTATTTTGGGCTCCCAAACCTGCTTTTCTTCCGACGGCCTCAAACAATAGCTGAGTCCGAATAATTTCCCCAAAGCTTTTCATCATTCCGGCCCCCTCTGCAATAACAGGGCCAACAGTATGTAGGGATTATGGTCCATAGTAATTAAACATGTATAAGCCTAAGCCCGACACCCCAAACCCTGGATCCCAGCAATGACCCTGCACCTGGCCACAAGCAGAGATGCAAATGTGAGCCAGTGAAGGATCAAGCTGTAGACCATCCTGGCAGGGACCGAGTTATAGGGCTTAGGTTTAGGTTTTAGGGTTCAGGGTTTAGGGTTCAGGGTTTAGTGTTCAGGGCTAGGGTTTAGGGTTCAGGGTTTAGCGTGTGGGGTTTGAGTCATTCTCCCACTCAGCATGGGTACCACAAAGGGCTATTGCAGGTATATGAAGGCCCTATTAACTCCATACTTTGGGGCTATTACTGTAGGGGGATCCCCTATTACTGCACCCCCCCCACCCCCGTAATATTTGACATTTTCCATATAATAATATGTCACAATGGGAGTATTTAACATCAGGAGGTGGGTAATATCGGGGGGAGGGGATTATAAGGGAGGGGGATACAAGCTTGTAAGTTTCAAGGATTGGAGGGGGAACATGTGCATGGGTTGTTGAGACAAGCTATAGCAGCTTCTGATCTAGAGCATCTGGGGACCGAACAGTCATCTTGATTGGGCTCGCCCCCCCCTCCAATAGAAAAGCCTTGCATATAAAGTGAGCAGAAGGAGGACCATGATTCTGGAACACGCCCAGATGACAAACACTCATCACAATAATTTCCACAGCCAAGGCGGACAACAGTAAGCGCTGTGTCACTAGTAGTAATCATAGCAGCATGAAGCATGATGCTGGTAATTGTTCTGGCTAGGCATAGGCATGTTCCCACCTGCGCGGCACCTTGCAGTGCAAGTAAGCCATGTTGCCACTTGACCTCAGGTCCAGGCACAGCAGCAAGCAGAGGGAGGTTGTGAGAAATAGCGGGAACGATAAGGAGCCTTGGCAGTACCCGTAATGGTGATGATCCTCACTTTTTTAAGCTAAGCACAAGACCGCAGAATAAAGCCGGTATACAAAGTAACAACAAAACGAACCACTTCCAGCAACTCGCTACTTGTCGCTTGTCATGGTGGATGCGGGCTGAACATCTGTCTGTATTTACGCCCTGTAGCCATGCTATAGATGTGACAACCCCAACATCCAAAGCCACACCACAGCTTCAAACCACAAAGCTTCGTCCCAGAGCCATCAGCACACTCCAAGCAGCAAAACCTTAGCAAGCCCTGAGCGTGACCCAAATATGGATACCTCTTGAATCACAACAGGACCCGGAGCACGGATACCTTAGGGTGGCCAAATAGGACTCTGATGTTGGACGAAAGACTTTGCTGGATTGACGCTACAGTGGCTACCCAGGCTTCAAGTGGTGAGTATCAGGAATTCCAGGTTGAGTGGCTACTTCGGCAGCGTCCCATGGACTGGTAGACGTGACAAGGTTGGCAGCGCTGCACATGACGGTGCCATAGATAACCTCAGCACAAGGGTGGTAGGGGCCCAAATGAGCACCCCTGACGTTGGCTGATGTTGGGAAACCGCCATGTGAGCTATAGTCTAAACTCCTAATATCCCCTTACCCCTATCATACTCCCTAAATCATCCCTATATAACCCCCTTTAAGGAGTTTAGACAGTCAACCCTAAACCCGAAATCACCCCCCTCAGGAATTTTCAGGAGTTTAGACCCTAAACCCTAAACCATATCTCATCCCCATATGACCCCCTTTGCGGAGTTTAGACCCAAACCCTTAACCCGATATAATCCCCATATGGCCCCCTTTAAGGAGTTTAGACCCTAAACCCGAAATATTCCCCACAAAATTCCTTTGAGGAGTTTGGGACTGTAGCTCATGTAAATCGTAAACCCTAAACCCCATGAATCCAGCAACCTAAACCCTAAACCCTAAGAGGATTGTCCCCCTGGATCAGGCTGAGCCTCACGCCACATCAGGTTCCAGGCCTGTCGCAGTGCACTGTAGGTTAGGGTTTGGGGTTTAGGGTTGTAATTTAACCGGAAGAAAGGTGGTTCAGGATTTAGGCTTTGGGATTTAGGGTTTAGGGCCTCTGGCTTTAGGCGGTTTAATGGGTTTTATGGTTCCTTTCTAGGAGATTTCTCTTTTGTGGCTCCATATTCCTGACTAGGTCTTAGCATTAGGCTTCCAAAGGGCCTAGAGTACGAGAAGGTATTGTAAAGACCCCAATAGGTGTCATTTTGTAGCCACGCTAAAGAAGGTTTACGCCGGTTTGACGCTCTGGAGGGTTCCTTTTGAGGGGTTACAGGGAGTGTGTAGGAATTATGCGTTACGTAGACTATATGGCAGGGGATTTGGCAAGGTATTCTATGAAGCAGCCAATCTGATCTTTCCTTTGGGGAATACTTGGGGGCTATAGCTCGTAACCTTGTAACTTGACCATCTTCCAAACTAGTAACTAAAAGAAGACTTTGGGAGTTGAATCGCCAGGAGGTTTGCAAAGTCCAAGGTATCATCCACCTGGCGCTAAGGCTTCTTTTGCTAACGGGCGTGGTGCCGGCATGTCACTCCATTCTGTGGGGTGTGCATTAAACGAAGAGTCTGGCTTTTTGTTCCTAAGCCTATAAGGGGAGATCTCCAAATTCTACAGGCGTGGCTTAAAACTTGCTCGAAAAGACTTAGGATCCCAAAATGGAAAGGTTTCAGAAGCCCAAGACACAGGGCTTTGCGTTCATGACTTTGATTTCCGGAGTCACGAACTTGCTGTGCCCTCTGCTCATGTCCCATAAAATGCACACGCAGCAACAAGTATTACATGCGGTCTCAAGCACACCTTCTCCATTTTGCAGGATTCCCATAGGGCCTCTCTAACCCTATCTAAGTCCTACAGCCTCTTCAAAGGGACCTCATCTTTCCTAAAGCCCTATGCCAAGTCCTTTTTCTGGCCTTGGTTGGAGCTCTTGTCAGGATCATATCCAGGGCCATTTCCAGAGAGAGGGCTCTTTGATACTTTGGCTTTACGCGGTGGGACCCTAAACCCAAACCCTCACTGCGCATTCGGCTCCCCTGCTCTAGGGTAGATGCATGACTGGCTGTTCTTCTGTTGATGCATGTCCGCTGTGTTCTGTTTCTTGCAGGCTTTGAGGTTGATTGGGAAAAGCAGGGAAACACAAATACAAGTAGCACGAAAAATGTTTGGTAGCATCCAACTACCAAACCCTGAGACCCTGCCATTGGGCATCGATACAAGCCTTACATGTTCACTCAAGGGGCCAGACTTTACCGTGTAGAACCCTAAACCCTAAACCAGCACATGCTTTGCACTTTTCACATCGCAGTCAAACGGGAGATCAGGTGCTCGGTCGAGACTCGCCCCCCCAAACTCTGAAACCAACCTCAACCCTCAATCCCTTATAACCCAATAATATAGTAGTTTCCATTTTCTTTTCATTAACCCTATATAAACTTTAGCAAAACTTTCGCGGTGGCCTTCACGTCCCGCTTGGCCCAGCTGGCGGAGAATGTGTGTGCAGGCTTTCCACTGGGCAGCTTCGCGGCAAGCGTTGGCCGCTTTCTTGTAGAGCCTCAGTACTTGACAGGATTTGGGGCTCAGGGTTCAAGGGCGGGGTTCGGGTGATAGAAGAGTTTTGGGTTCAGCGCCTACGTGAAGCGTTCACATTCGAAAATTTGGACTTGGAGGCTCAGGGGCAGCTGCAAGTGGGCCTAAATAAGGTCATAGCTAGACTTGTTCGATTTAGATTTCTGCCTGCGCCTCCCGACGTCCACGGAGAAAACCGCTGTTTCATGTTCTCAACATCAACAGCATCATGTCTACCCATGCTAAAACATTACGTATTCGCTAGAACGACTTGGCTTGTCAGACACTAAGAATGTGATCAACCTCTTGACTGTTGGACCGCGTAGCTGCAAATCTGGCACTATGCCTTCTTCGTTGGCCACCTCAGCTGCATACAAGCAATGCAGCGCAATCTTTCGTGCTGCGTACGAGGCTGCCACCACTACTCCCAAAATCTCCTTGATTCCTATCCATGGGCTTGAGCGCTTGACTGCATCTATCGATTCTATAACAATTGGGGAGCTGTCCTAAACGGAAAGTGAAGTTTTGGCACTTCTGGGTAGCATTAAGGCCCCCACCGCTAGCAAGTATGCTGCCTCTCGCCACTGCTTTCGCAGGCCGTATTCTGTGATAGCCTCGCAGCGAGGTAAGGCAGAGCTCTGCGCTCCATGTCTGAAACTACTGGATACGAAGCTTGAAGGCTTTCACACCTGACTTTTGGACTTTTACACCCGTATGCAGAGAGAGAGAGAGAGAGAGAGAGAGAGAGAGGGAAGATATGTATGTATATACACATACACATGTGGGGGTGGGGTTCTCGAAAACACGGGCCCCTTTTGCGGCGCCTGAAAAAAGGTGGCTGTCAACCCAAAAAGGCACCATAATTTTGACAACCTACCATGTGACACATGAATATATGTACACATGAGGTGGGATGTATGTGACCATGTAGGTAATGACGTCAGATTTGCTACTACGATCCTTGCAACATATATGTATGCGCTTATGCAGGTCCACGGAATGCAGGGCATGTAATTCTCGGCGTGAAAAACTCAGGCAGGGCCTGGCTGCATAGCATTAGAGTCTGCTTCCATGCTAGAGCCCCGTCTTCCGCCATGGCAGTCGGACATGGCTTTTGCTGACGACGGGCAATTGATGCCGTAACCCCACCGTAGACAGGAAGGTAAGGACATAGTAACATGAGGACTCTCTGAGAAACAGACCCTTTTAATTATCTAGAGCCCACAGTTCCCCCAACATGTTATGATGTCTGAAAGAGCCACAAAGACGGTCTGTTATACATCATCCAAAGCACTGGCAGACCCCCCTGACTAGGTCGCAGCTTTGAAGACTAGCTAGCTACCAGAAGTTTGTGAAACTCCCTTAAGGGTTTAGGGTTTAGGGTCCCTATAGTTATCTTGCATTCTCTTTCGGTGACTCGAGCCGCATTGAAGGGTTCGGAGGGGTCTCAAGGAGAGATTGCCTCAGATCAGGGCCTTCATCATTCGGCAGTGTTGCGCCTATCTTTTTGGGATGCGGTGCATACTATGTGAGCTATAGTCTAAACTCCCGGTATCTCCCTTTAGTCACCCCTATGATAGTCCCCTATATAATCCTCTATATAACCCTGAGACCCTAAACCCTACATAATCCCCTATATAACCCCTTGAAACCCTAAACCCCAAGCCCTAAACCCTAGATAATCCCCTTGAAGGAGTCTAGATTATTTCTCATGTGGTTGCAGCAGGCAGGGTGCGAATCGCAATTGGGGCCTGCGTCGAGGAGAAAGACTACCATCATTATCACTATCAGTATTACTAGTCTTATTACTAATCTTGCTATTACTATTGCTATTACTTTCACTTTTAAATACTATTTTTATTACCTTTACTATTGCTGCTACTATTACTATTACAGCTGCTGCTGTTGAGCTTCCTGCTGCCTGCTTTGAAATTGAAACCATAAACTCGTTGTTTTTTTGTTCGTGAGGTGGTGTATGCGAGGTTGACTACAGTAGCTGGACTGATTCTACAACCAGACTGTGCCCCATCCAGACAAGTACCTTCCAAAACAAGGTCTTACATACTGCACAACTGCCAACCTAGCCTGCATTCAACTGTCAACAGGCGCTTCAATCTAGCCTGCGTCTGCACTTCAAACTAGATGTGTGAGACCGGCAGCTGGTAGTATCCAGCATCAAGCACAAAAGCGAATCTTTTCCTTGTGATTGCACAGGCGCGTCCACGAACATGTTCTGTTGCTAGCCTCAGGGCTAGCAAAGTGGGAAAAGTGGACCCGTGCGCGAAGCCACACTCAAGGACTGCGCTCTCTCGGGAGAGTCGCCAAGAGATTAGGAGCCAGGCTCCCGAGCCTGGCGGTACAATTTTGAGCAGGCGCACAAGGCATGCCATGAGTGCAGGACACGTGCTGATACAGACTCAGCAGTGCCACCGGTTGGATGAAGCGGTTAAGAATCGGCAGCCTGCACTGAAGCTCAGCTTGGAGGGGCTGCCTGCTGTCAAGCTCTTTTCTTATCACCTTGGTTTTGCAGCCATAGCATGAATGTTACTGAAGCGATGCATCAGGCAATGAAAGCTCTTCCAGATTTGCAAGGTTTGAGGGAGGTTTATGGAAGATTCCTTATGCGACCCATGGCATCAGTACGCATCCATGTCGCGTGAGCTAACAAGCTCAATCATGCTCAATCGCATGTGCAAGTGCAACCTTCCCGCAGGCCACAGAAGAAAACCTCGCCGCGATTGCCATGCCCTTTGAGCTGGTGAGTCCCTAGACTTTGGATTCTCAGGTCACAGTCCCCTGAAGCTCGTGCCTCGCGTCCTGTGTTCAAGCACGCCAGTGCGAAGTCCGCCGAAGCTTTTAGGGCTGGTGCGGAGAGCCAACCCGCAGCTATATGCCAATTTGCGTGACCCCGTCCCAACTGCCATTCTGCTCTTAGCCCCATGCGCCCTGCAGTGTATTGGGGTTCCACGTAGCTGCAGATGCCGAGATTCTTCGGCAGGGTGTTGTGAGCAACATCCGCAAGCCCTTAACACTGCCTTCTGTTTATGGGAAGCAGACCTTAACATCCAGAAAACTTCTCCCCAAAATTTCATGGTTCACTAGGCACCTCAGCTTGGCTATTGGCGGGGCTTGGGGAGCCGGCAGAAAAGGCATCGCCGCCAACACCAGGGGAAGAGACCTGCGGTCCGCTGACTTGACCTGCCTTTGAACTCTACTGGGGCCATTCTTGTTGGGTCCGGTAAGACCGGAGGGATGATGTCAAGGCAGCACTGAAATTGCGGGGTTGAGAACGAAGCTTCAAAGGAGCCTCCAGTTTGATTTGTGCGCGTGCAAAGACGTGGTGATTACGCTCACAGAAACGTGCAGGTGTCATCTCGGGTAACTAGCCTTGGGTAACTAGCTGCTAAGACGTATAAGCAGGTCTGGCACATCTGTTCAGGGTGACGGTGCCCAAGCACCTGTGAACACCTGTGAACGTCGGATGGACTCTTCTCTTCAAGCTTGCGCATTGGCTTGAGCCAGTAGCACATTGAGCACTGGCATGTGTGAGACGACCGTCCTCAAGTCTGGCCTGGAATGGGTTCAAAGTGTTGCTGCTTAGCGTCTGGTCATGGCTTGCGAGGCTTCGCATATGTGACCCCAGACCCTGGAGACCTGTTGCCCATGGGGGCAGCTCGCAGCTCAGGTTCTCTGCCTTCTCAGCTGCAACCACCCTCACTTAGGGCTGACATCAGCGCGGGCTTCTGCCAACCCTTTTGAAGGGTTTGGATTGTGCCCGAACTGCTCGCAATCGGGTCTGTCGAGGATAGCTAGGAGCACACGTTGCAGTTCTCCTGCTCTGGCAGCGCCGGCGCAGCGAAGCGGTGGAACAACCTTCCTGCATCTGAACCTTCAAACAAAATTCAGGGGATCTATTTTTGGGACCCGAAGGTAAGGGATTCGCAGATTCGCAGCATACCTTTGTGGGCACGTGGCATTCCTCAAACCCCTAGCAGCGGCACATGCTCAAAGGCTTAGGAGTTTGTCTGGCAGGTCCATGCTGCTTACATCCAAAGAGCTTTGCCCAGTGCCATCCTGTGTCGACCAGCATAAGCCAACAGCAGTCCAGTGGCCCAGTGGCCCCGTTGCAGAGCTTCTCTTAAGGACTGCTTGAAGTTGGCGGCACGGTGGCACAAGCTAGCAGCTCCAATAGCATGACATCTTCGCCAGGCGCGCAAGGCACGTGCAAATGAGTGACAGCCTAGGCAGCTTCTGCCTCTCTGATATCTCATCGCACAAGTCTGTTAATTGCTCGAATATAATGCCCAAAGTCATATCCCGTGTGAAGCCTTGGGAGAGAGCCGAGGGCTTTGAAAGATGAGCATTCTGGTGCACGCAAGGCCTCCCCTCTGAGCCCTGCCCCTTGTGCCGACTTGAACGTCAAGTCAAAACACCGGGCAGCATTTTCCCATCTTCTTGGTTTGATTGGCCAGGCTAAAGAGGGATTAGGAATTCTGAGGATGGTTCTCAATTAGAACAGCTGGAGAGCCCAAGAGGGCTCAGGCTGCTGGCCCCTGGAAGGTTACCTGACCCATCGAATTGAAAGGGCTTCGCTTACCAGACTGCGTAGGACATAGGAACCCTAAACAAAGTGCCCTGAAATCCGGGAGCATGGTCCCAGGGCGGTTGCTTGAAGACAAGCCTCCTGCCAGGATCAGAACTAGCAAGGTTCCTCTGATTCCTCTCGTCAGTGCTGCTGCTTCTTTTCAGATAGGGAGGAGCACGTGCCCAAGGCAGCAAGGAGACACAAAGTGTGCACTCTTCACACGTCTGATCCCACAGCCTCGCAGCACCAGCCCAGCTTTGTTGCTGCGGCCTGAGCTGCGAGCTCAGGTGACTGTGCCACAACGGTTGAGCACGCGTGCATGCAAAAACTCTCTAGAGCTCCAAAATACACGTGCAGGTCTCATGGCCTTAGGTAACCTCCAAGGCCATGAGACCCATACCGTCGAAGCTGCACAATAAGCGACCACGACAACCACAAGCATATATCCGTCAACCACGCTTGTGTGCCATTCAAAGGGAGTTTCCCGTCTGGTTTTTTCGGGATCCCATACCAAAAGGGAAAAACTGCCGTTTCCCCCTAACCGCCCTTTCGAGAGAGCCTTAAACTCATACTCGAACTCTGCACGGCTGCTAGTTCTCAATATTCGCTGTGGCCATTTTGCATCACATCTCCTGAAGGCGCGAAGGTGATATTGCAGGGTAGCTGTGCATGTTTGAGTACTTTGAGCCACTGCTTCAGAAGATAGCGCCCGCAGACACTGGTTGTCGAGCTGCAAATGCTCTGTGTCTTCAGCGTACATAGCTGGGCACACATCCG